CGGCTTGCTTAAATCATTGGGCTACCGAAATTACTTTCCTACAAAATGCCTAATTTCATCTGGATTTATCATTGTTTTAATCGTTCAGTCATATCAAATGACCCATACATAAACTTGCGCGATTATTTAACTTGCTCCCAGGTAAACGCTGTACAATTCTTCAACGAAATGAAGATATACTTCAGATTAATTTACATGTGAATCCTGTGTGAAGAAAAAAGTAATTTGGAAGTGAATACGCTGAAAATATTTGTACCGTATATTCGCATACTGTCTTAAATAAGGCTTTACCATTATTATTATTATTTTATTATTATTATCTAACTTCTTGACACAAATAAACTCACTAGGTTGTGCTCAAAACGTCATCAATTATTAATACTGTTTCACACTGTGTGATTTATCAAAATAAAATCTTATCCATAATAGAATTACCATCCCAAGTTCTTCATATCTTATTGCTTTATGCACAAACAGTTTTAGTGATGCTGATATTGACTGTGTCAATGAATGTGAACATTGAAAGTTTGTTCATTGGCCTCAGTAGCCATTGGTGGGTAAGTGGAAGGTGCGAATGATTCAAGCATGTACAAGTTGGAAAAAGATGAAAAAATTCGAATAAAGGTACAATTAATTCCTTGTAAAACATTTGTTTATAGACTATGTACAGAGTATTGATTTTAGCTGCCTAACAATATAATTTATTACCAGTCCTTGTGTTTTGGCGTTAACGTCAATATTCTGCATAGTAATTATTGGTTAGAACGTCTTCAGAGATAATAGGAACTAAGGGTTTAGTTCCTTAACAGTTTTTATTCTTCTTTTTGATATTCAAGGCGCCTTCTGGAACTCTTCTGGAGAGTACTTACTTGGTCTGTCGCCAGCATCTTTTAACACGGATTATCGCAAAGCAATTTGGATTGTTTGGTGAAGTTGGATGATGCCTGGACCAAAGAAGAGACGTCACAGCTGGAAAGCAGACAGAAAAGTGAGTAATGATGAGTTACCTGTTGTTTGTAATGATGTGTTTGATACTCAGCATGATTAGCTTGATGTTCATGTTTCGCCGTCTAGTGATAGTAGGAGTTTTAAGTAACCGAAGTTTGAGCCTTGGCTCTTTGATGCAAACCCAGCCGACTATCTACAGTTTGTCAAAGAATCTGAGGTCATGTTGAGTGGTATTGTAATAAGCGACGTAGTGAAGTAGATGTAGTAGTTGAGGTACTGCAATGGTGTTGCTGGAAAAGCTATACAGTTTATATCCCCAAACGAAGAATACACTGAGGTCATGAGGATATTACTTCGAAGGTTTGAGTGGCCATTTATGATATGCCGTAGTGCTTTTGAGACTGTTAAGGGTAATGTTGCGAGGTAAGACGACGACTCCGAAGGACTCGTTGAGTTTTTAAATAGTTTAATGGTATACAGAAATACTCTCGTTTCTTTGTGTTGAGAAAGAGCCACGAATACATTTTGTCTGTTCCCCACTCAATCATGTAGAATGATGTTTATGAATCTGATGAGAAACCTGCCTAATTGTACACTCAGCAACAGTTAACCTGCTAGATATATATAGAGATACAGGCGAAATTGAGTAATTAATTCCAATTTATTCAGCTGAAAATTGGAGTGATTGCGAATTGACAGTGTGATCGTGCTGCACTGAACGCTCTCGTGACTGCATTCTTCAGATGCTCTGTTTTATATCTTGCTGATATTAACACGAACGAACTGCAGATTTGTGAACAAAGGCTTCACCCATTTGATGTGATTCGAGTATCGACTGAATATTTCCACTGTCTCACATAAGATAACAATTCAAGGGTTGAATTTGCATGTCAAACTTTTGAAGGATGTAATTTTGCACTCACACAGATGAAGGGTGCTTGAGACACTTGAGCCATACCAGACAACTTACACACACATCACAGCTAGTTGAAAGTCACCTTAGAAATTTAACGTAATGCTGACTGAATGAATCACATGAGTAGATACATGGGAATCTTATCCCACCTCTCTTCACTTTGAAGTAACTCACAAAGTATTCTAATATCCCTTGATGCTAAACACGAAAACCTCTCAACTTGAAAATTATTGTTAAGTGTTATCGCATCACTCCGCAGAAATGTATTTACCCATTGAAATGAATGAATGAATGAATGATAATAGCCTTATTCCAAAACAGTACTTGCTATACATAATGGAATTCTAAGCATTTTAGAACAGTATTGCATCCAGTTAGTATATTAGCAATAAAGAAAATTCTACATAGTTTAAGGGTAATTTCAGTTAGTTTGGACAACAAAATATTAGCATGTTGGTAGCAAAGCCAAAAATTGAACAGAGTGTTTGGTGTTAGAAAAAGTAGATGCTAGCATATTAACTGGTGTAAGCGGTAACAAAGAGGTCGAGATATACAGAGTGTGAAAGAACGAACATGAATGTTTTAAGTAGAGTTTGTAAGGAAGAGAGAAACAAAACAGCACATAACAAAAAAGAGAGGGAGAAAAGGAAAAGAAAGAAAGAAAAACGTTGTACCTATAAATGATATGAGTTGGAAAGACGAGATCCAGTTGTTCTACTGACTATTTAATAAGTTAAGGGTTTCATGCCTATTGCTTTCCTTATCGCACAGAACATGAGTTAAGTAGGGTATGGTTGGTTTGTTGGTGGAAAATCCTTTCTGTTTCCTTTGTGTACTAGACAGTGTCCTTCAATGTAACACAAGTTACCACAACCATTATGCATTGTGGAGTCAGTGGATTCATTCATTCGCACCCATATTAGTTTCAAACAGACCAGTTTATTGCGATAAGAGTGAAGGGAAACGAGAGTGGGAGGTGATAACTTCCTTGATTTTCGGAACACAACTATATATCAAATAATACCTGTGATTTACTGTCATTTCAATAGTAATTTTTGTACACTGATCATCTATATTCAAGATTACAAGCAAATAAATGCTCAATCACTATTAGTACGCAATGTTTAGTTCCTTAGCTCGGGACACGAGATGACGTTGTTGAATAGCCTCATTCACTTCTAAACTTCAACTCAGTTGATTTGAAATAATATTCAACTACATTTAATATATTAAATATTCCCATAGTAAAATTTAGAACAACACATTTAAGCGAACAGTATTGTGCTTTCAATTAGATCTCATCAGGCTTAACTCTAATATAAATAAGTTTACAAATAAAAATTCAAATATAAACCAATCATGGTGTTTTGTCTATAGGATAATACGATGGTGAATATAAATTGTGCAATTAGTCATAATAGTGATAATGATAATATTAATAATAGTAATAATAATAATAATGGTCTTATCAATAATTAGGATGAAAAAATGAGGCAATCTGTGATAACACGAATAATGAAAAACAGTATGATTAAACAAACAATTGTTCAGGTGGAAGTAGTCGATAAAGGCTAGTAAAAACAAATGAACCGATTACGTAATGTTAGATTGTAGGGGAAGGAAATGAAACACGTTCATTTGTTTTTACTAGCCTTTATCGACTACTTCCACCTGAACAATTGTTTGTTAATTCATACTGTTTTTCATTATTCGTGTTATCACAGATTGCCTCATTTTTCATTATAATTATTGATAAGACCATTATTATTATTATTACTATTATTAATATTATCATTATCACTATTATGACTAATTGCACAATTTATATTCACCATCGTATTATCCTATAGACAAAACACCATGATTGGTTTATATTTGAATTTTTATTTGTAAACTTATATATATTAGAGTTAAGCCTGATGAGATCTAATTGAAAACAATATTGTTCGCTTAAATGTGTTGTTCTAAACTACATTTAAGAATTGGTTTTGTAGGGATTTTGTTTCATTTCGTGGAGGACTTCATCATGAGCTGAAATCAGTTAGAGAACCGTCCGAAAACCAGCAGGAATTTAGATATGACATGACAGCTGCTTCGTCCTCGTTTCGGAACTATTCAGCAGGACGCACCCACCGGGGTTCGAACCCAGGACCTTCTGGTGACAAGGCGAGCTCGTAGACCACCGAGCCACTGGGATCCGATCCAAAGGCTCTTGAATTCTAGCTTCTGCCAATTCAGGAAAGAGCGCAATGTCTTTTTCGATGAGTTACTGTCTCATTTTCAACCTAATGTACCCTACTGGTCACGGCTTCCCACCAGAACCCCAGGTAAACTGCCTGAATTGGGACGGTGAGCATCATATTAAATTTCAAGTATTTGTTTTGTGTGGGTTTTGTTTGATTGCATGGAAGGTTTCATCATGAGCTGACATCAGTTGCAGAACCACTGGAAAAGCTGAGAATACTAGACAGCTTTTTCATCCTGGTTTGAGACTCTTCAGCAGTACATCAAATGGTCATGCTGTGTCCTGAATTGGCAGAAGTTGGAATTCAAGGACCATAGGATCGGGTCCCAGTGGCTAAATGGTCTATGAGCTCTCTTGTAACCAGAAGATCCTGCGTTCCAACCCCAGTGGGTGAGTACTGCTGAAGAGTCCTAAATCAGGACAAAACAGCTGTCCAGTGCTACCAGGTTTTCCAGTAGTTCTCTAACTGACGTAGGCTCATGATGAAATCCTCCATGCTATTTAACCACATTGTTCAAATAGCAGTTCACATAGACTGTCACCTGTAAGCATGATTTAAATCTCATGTCTTTATTGGCTGTTCAGTCTTCCAATGATTCACTTTGACTTCCATTTCTACGCACAATTGATACACCCTGCTGTTAGTAATTCACATTTATGTCAATTACAGATATTCTACTGTCTGTTCTTTCAATTAACGTACTTACTTACTTATGTCACATGTTCTATTCGATGCATTAATCCAATCCAAGTCAATAGAATTTTCTATGTGTCAGTCATTTGCACTGCGTTTTTCAATCACAATCCAATCAAACTGCAGATGTGTAGACTTGTGCATATATAATAAAGTAGTTTTGAAACCATCATTTTAATTAATCGAATCAGTGTAAAATGTTCCGTTTGTTGTGTTTATTACTGATCAGTGTCATATCTTGTACCATCGTAGAAGGGGAAAGTAAGCACTTTTATGAATTATTTGTCAATTTATTGTATTTATATAAATCTCATGTATAATAGTGTTTTTGTTATCATTTATCCCGAATATTTTGATATGCTAACAAGATCAGTGGTTTTCCACAAAGAGTATCTTCGTTAAGTCTCGTGTGTCGGGTGGTCCAATTCGGCGATTACTAGCGAGGCTACGCACAAATGAGTGATCGTTGAACGACGAGATTTGGATTGAGTTCATTTGATCTAATCCAATATTTATGTGTTTCAATTTTCAGGAATCAGTAAGTGTTGTTAACTTGGATATTTATGCAAAACATTATGACTATTTCGAAAGAAAAGTTATCAAATTGGGAGTTCTGTATGATGAGTAAAATTCTGCACATATGTAGGTAAAGCCTAACTGTCAGCTAAGTGAGAATTTATGTTCTCTGTCACTGCTGATTCTCCCTTTTGTTCCTTCACAAACGGAGAGATGATAATGGTCAATAAAATGTAAAATGAATTGTGGATATAATCTGCAGTTCATGCCGATGATTTTGGCACCTGTAGATTCTGTGTGTTGAGTGGTTCTATTTAGAGGCTTGCTTTGTCTTTCTGGATAACATCTTCGGAGGCAGCTTCTATGTGAAATGTTATTTTGGAATTCTTGATGAATCATACACTTGTCTCAAAGTGAGTCGATTGCACAGCGGTTAGGACTCTCGCTAACCATGCATATGGTCCCGGGTTCGATCCTTTGCCGACGCACACCTCATATCAATGGTCGGCCTGCGAAATTTGGGCTATCAATATCCATGCTGAAAATTTCATACCTGTACCAAAAATACGCTGTGGAATCAAGCTGTAAATAAAAAAATATTATTCCTTTAGATCTCTTGATGACTGCATCGATTTTGTCTATATTGACACTCTCGCTAACGTAATGTCTGACATGCTACTCATGTGCACTGCTTTCATTGATCGATAAATTCAATCAGAATCTCGGTGTGTATTAATGGCAGACTGATTAAAGTGCCGTGTTTGTAGGAGTTCTCTGTCATTCTTTGTTTTTCTTCTGTTTGAGATCTTTATATTATCCCAGCCGATCACGGTTCGCCGGTGGCGAAGCGGTTAGGACGCTCGCCAACCATGCACATGGTTCTGAGTTCGATCCCAGGCCGACGCATCCTTTTACCTCGCTGTACCAGGATTAATCCTGGTAAAGAGGAAAGGCTGGGCATGGAGCTAGCAACCCCATCCCGTAAAATTAAACACTGCTACGGAGACTTCAAACAACTACCTTGAGGATCTATATTCCACTGAGGAACGTGAAGGAAAAACAATCGACCAGCTGTCCACAACTGTCAATGTGCAGTGATATAAGCAAATTTATGTTATGTATTCCATTATTACGCTATATCCATCGGTGTGTGCTGAATACCGGCCTATCAGTCCTAGAAGGCTAAAAGATATCACCCAATAGCCAGTAAAATCACGAAAGATATAAGTGAATGACAGGGGAAGTTTGATCTACGTAAATCGTCATTCAAGCCAAAATTTCTAAAATGTCTTAGTGCTGTACTTGTTTGAAAGGTGAGAATGAGATATTTCAAGAATGAACAATCTGTTGAAGGCATAAATATGGAATAGCCACAGGACGGTAAGCTGTACGTAGACATACTTAGCAGTAGTGTACAACGAGGACGTGTATCCAGCACTGAAAGCTTAAACCTAAAATTGGTGAGCGCTATGGTAATTAGATCATGAGAGTCAGCTGTCACTCGGCAGTTATCGGTCATGTTTGTTTATGTTATCATTGCATAGCTCGTTGACTCTTTCCAGTAACATGATCATAATATTAAGATCACTGATTAGTCATCGATGTACAGTCACATGAATGAGACAGTATTTCACAATGTCATGAATGGGTGTATTTGTCTATATACCACTACTATGTGATCAAAACCAGATAAAAATTAAGTGAATGTATCAGGCATTGTGTTGATTTGGATATTACACTCGCCGTAAACGACTTTCTAGCCACATGCATAATCCCTTGGTGTCTCTCCCTCTCTCTCTCTCTCTCTCTGGAATGATAAACTGTGTACTTTTCATCGAATGGAACATGACTGTTTGACTAACCCCTTGTCTTTTCATTTCAGTCATTGTAATACGTGAGTATTTAACTGGTTCATAAATATACAGTTGATATAAAAAGTTATTTTCACAAAATTAAAAATTCCCACTGTAGCATTAAGAACACAATGTATTCAGCGAAGAGACTCTTTGCAACAACGAATTTATTATCAACCTGTACAATCGTACATATATATGTATATATGGTTTTTAAGAAATTATATCGTGTGAGAGAATTAGATCAATAATGTGAGTACATGAAATAGAAATGATAGTATGAAATGCGATACAAATATTCGTCCATTAGAAAGAAGAGAACATGAAGTTCAGCAAAGATATATCTGCCTTTTCGGCGATTTCATTTTTAAAAGCTGTACAATCGCATTTATAAACATAATTTTACATGGATACAACTCTTGTTTGATTCCACATAATTACGACGGTGAAAAAAAAGCGATAATTATTTTCAACTACATATGGTTTACGAGAGGCTTAGAAATAAAATTAAACAGGATTAGAACGGATAACAAGTGTGTAAAAATGAGCATGGAAACCAAATTGAAATAATAATTTTAACTTGAGTCGAGAGTTAGGAGGTGTGAATATAGATTACAAGAGCCTTAGAAAGACAAAATTATACAAAACAATTATTGTCATATATAGAATAATGTATAAGGTGTATAGATGTTGGAAAGGGTCACATAATTATAGGATTAGTAGACGAATAGAAAATATTGCATTTGATAAGATAGAATTCAATATTATAGAAAATTATTTTGAATAAGGAATGACAAATGGGACAAGCGGAAACAATTCAGAGTGAGAATAGTAACAATAATAATATTCGTAGTAATAAGAGAACGGCATACCTAGGGGTTGTGCATACTTTTGTACACATGAACTTGGAATTCAAAAGTGATCAAGTTTCAGTTATGCTCAAAAGTCATCTCTCTAAAGCGGTCAGTAAGACGTTCTTTGCACTAGAATCACAAATGACGTTCACCAACCGCAAGTTGTTCTCCACCTCATTAAAAGATAAGCTTCCCCATCTGGCCACCTCCATGTGTATCTATTAGTTCACCTGCTCTTGTGGAGCAAGACATATTGGCCGTAGCGGAAGGACGCTTCCCACACGGATACGAGAGCATATTCCAGCATGGTTTTACTAGGGAGAGAGGAAGTATGTGCGAAGCTTTATTCTGGAACATCTGATCGGACTTTGTCACTCTATCAAACCTGACTATAATTTTAAGATCATCTACCGAATCCATGCTAACTTGCAGCGTTTTCTTCGTTACTGACTTCTAAAGACAATGGAGGGCATGGCAATTCATGGCTTTAGGCCAGATCTTTGTGTACAAGAAGGATTAGTATGTACAATCGCTACTTCTGCTTTGCCGTAGAGGGATAGACATTTATTTATTTTGATAGAGAAAGAAAGACCGCAGTATAAAATGATATCATTCTGTTTTACAGGTTCTCATCAGCTGCAAACTACTTGAAATTACAATGGTCATAAATAATAATATTTCATACTTCATTGTTTGTAAGGTAATAGAGAAAACATTTTAAGGTGAACGCAACTGGAATATGAGTATTATAATCTAAGTCACCATCAATTTATATACTGTCAAACTATGAAAAAAGAAAAAAGGGGGTGAGAGAAGACAGAAAACAGCAAAGTCTAATAAACAGTGTCAACATGGCAACTCAAGAAGGTCAAAGTTCATCAATTTGAAAACTTGCTTAGTGAGTTGAGCTCACTAGTGTGTATGACTAATCAGTGTAATGAAAGTGATATGGTTACCAAGGGAGTGAGAGATTGAACACACTCTCTTTCTGTATGCATAAGTTTGGTCTGTGAAGTTTGATTGCAATTGCTTCAGCGAATCGTAGTAGATTCGCTGTCCTTTGTATGTTTATTATTTTGAAGGATTTGGAAATCTCGACAAAATGACCCGTATCAACACGGTGTCTGGTAATTGTAATTTGTTATTTTTGCTTCCTTTTAAGCATAAGTTTCTTGGAATATGCTCTGAAAACCGGATAGAAGCCCTTCTTTGTGTCCCTCCAATGTACTTGCTACAAACGCAGGTACACGTAAATTTATAAATGCAGTTGGAGGTAACATCAGCAGGGTACTTATCCAGTTTCGACTGCCTTATAGAGCATGTAGTACTGTATAGTGTTACCAGATTGTCTGCAGGGAAGCATATCTTTATTGCTCCCTTCATCTGTGGTGAGAGCAGGCCGTGAGAAAATATGAGCAAGGCTGATTCGACAACCAATCACAGCAAAGTTAACGTGGCAAAATATGATTCGCAGATAGAGAACTCTATTTGTCGAGGAATCCCGAAACAACCAATCAGAAGCCTGCGTTTGTCTGCCTAACTTCTGATAAACAACCAATCAGATGACTGCGCTTGTCTATAATAATGTATGTGAAATATGTATAAATACGTGTTGATTTTCATAATAAAACGATCTGTTGGCTGGCCCTTGTCTTCTGTTGTTACACATCCTCTTTTCAGTCTTTTGCGATACTGCTTCTCCTTTGTATGGGAGTCAAATGAACACTTTCTTCTTCTCAACTGTTGGAGACTTCTCATTGTCATCTGTTTCTTCGCTGTACTTTAGGATAAACGCTTTTGGATACCCGTTTTCCTTAAGGCATTTTTCAAATTTTATTATTTTTAACCATTGTAATTTCAGGTAGTTTGCAGCTGATGAGAACCTTTGAAATAGAATGATATCATTTTTTTATTGCAAATCTGGTCTTTCTTTCTCTGTCAAAATTTAATTATTTATTGTGTTTATTTAGTAATTCTATGTATCTTTCCCTTATTACTACAATTATTATTAGTGTTCTCACTCTGAATTCTTTCCGCTTGTCGCACTTGTTATTCTTAACCTAAAATTATTTCTTTTACAATACTGGATTCCGTCTGATCAAGTTTCATAACATATTATGTAACATTTCATATTCGTCTACTAACTCTATATTTTTGCACCCCTTTCTAATTCTCTCACCAGATATAACTTCTTAAATACCTAAATAAACTTACTGTTGAACAGCTTGATAATATATTCGTTGAAAACAGTCTCTTCGCTTAATATCGTGTTTCTAATTCCAAAATTCTCCATAAATAACACAATGAGGTAATTCACTGTTGTTCAGATAGATACATTTAATCTTAACCTGAAGAGCATTTCGGGAAGACAAATTTCAATCACCGATTTTGGGAAATATCGTTTCATGAAATTTTTGCAGTCTCAACTCACGGGATTACATTGTAAATAGATTTTCTCATATGAGTTTCCTCTAACGGGCGATTAAAACAGTGAATATTTTGACCAGTATTCATGTGGTTTTGATAAAAATGTCAGGATAACTTACTGAGGTTCATTCGTATTCCGTTGGCTGATCATTCGAAGATAAATTCGTCACGTTCACAAAAATTATTGTGAAAACACCATTCAGCTCACAGTGTTTACTATTTCTCGATCCACTAATCAATCAGCATTTCTTCCATCTCAAATGTGTTTACACGTACGCTTGATAAACTTGGTTTTGTAAGAAAAAAACAGGCATGTGATATCAACCGAATGACATTGTGAGGATTACGGTGGACGGTGGAAGTAATGCGTTCACTAGCTTGCAATTATGTTAAACGTAAATTTCAACAGTGAAATTCAACACAATCAGATCGCTTGTATCTGATATCCTTTATCTTTACAACATATCCAGCCATATTAAGTCATTCAAATAACAAAATCGTTTTCATATTCTTATATTGATGTTACAGCACCCCCCATACAAATAGCGGTTCGCAACACTGGTAAGTTACGTACCTCCTTGATTTATTAGTAGGAGTGTCCAACAAATATTAGCTAATAGGTTAATAATTTCACGTAAATGCTGAATATGCTGAGTAGTCTTCATGAGTTATTCAGGATTTAGTCATCAGAATTCAATCACAAAGCGAATTCTCGTGATCAGCTTGAAAGCAAGAAGAACAATATTTGCAGTCACATAATGCACGCATATCATTCCAAGGCATCTCTCAATCTGTAGGTAGCCTAGATAACAGAAGGGATTACTTAAATAAGCACACGCTTCTTTCCACTGTGCAAAACAAGGCGTAAAGGGGACAGCATGAAGCGGTATGATGGCACAAATCATACAAACAAGTCACTTGTAATAATTCTGTTTCAGCCTCCTAATCACCTCGCAATCGACAACCTGGCGAGTGATGTCACTCGGCGGTCTCCTCCTCAGCTTCAGTCTGACACGTCTTCATTTACTTCTGATTCCCATGAGACTAAAATCTTCTTCATCACTTTCTGCTAAGTAAAAACTGAAAAAACTTCGGACGTTATCATTTCATCAAATTTACACTTTCGTATTTTATGTGGTGTGAAGCGACAGAGAAACCTTAAAATGAAATATGCGCATTTCAAACTGCAAATCGTTTCCCTCTCGCACCCTAGAATCACATTATTCGAAGAAATCCATGGAAACGGTATTTACTGGAATGGTGTTTATGCGGTTCTACAGCGAATAATAAATGCGAATTTTATCCACGGGATCGTGCACAAAATATTTACTTTTGCTTATGCATTTGTTCTTATAGCCCAACTGGAATGTGTTATGTATAAGTTTAACCTGATACTCACCGTATCTGATGAAGTTGTCCTCATTATGATTTAGATAAAAATCCGAAGACATCGACTTCGGATGCTAGTGATTTCGTGTTAGCCATCATATATCATGTATTCTATTTAATTTCATAATGCATTGTTGAAGTTTATACCGATGGATTCTATCTTTACCTATTTTAATCGGTCGGGAGATTAGTGATTCATCAGCACTTATCACTTGATAAATTGTAGAGTTTTCTTCAAATTCGACTCATCCTATAAATCAAGATGCTAATTCGTTTCAATTAGTGAGCTGAAATTATGAATTCAGATTCTGAAAGAACTGTCGCTAATCGAATCATGGATTATTTTACTGTTGAACTTTATCTGCTTATTGTTACTAAACTACTGATGAATTGCTTGTGTACATACACATATATATCAACTTAATAGAATCATTTGATGGTATTTGATAGGCATATAACCTTTGTATAGTTTCAAACATGCACACTAGTGGGTGGGTGAACTGATAGACATTGTGGAGTTAGTTATGTTGACTGTAATAAATATGTGCTATCCGGGAATTATCTTTGATAGTTTAACCATTCACTTTGATAGAAGAGAAAAAAGATCCCTACGTAGTTGTATTCTGCACACCAAGAGATCTATCACACCAACTTCAGAGTTATTCACCTAAAGGTGTACGAATCAAACGTCTTCAAACTGCAGATGCCTAATCGTGAAATATGCATACATTAGAATTCGATCTAGTCACTGTGAACCCAGTGGACATAATTTGGCCCGACATTTGATTTCGGATTTTCTGACTTTAGTCTATTTAATTTTATTATACACAAATAGCGTTTTCTGCATTACTGAATTTTTTTCTGTAATCTACAATTTCAATCTATAATTTTAGTGAAACATCTCTTGAGACGTTTCTTTTTTTCACAATATAAATTTATTACATACACGAATCTTTGAAAACGTCATGAGAGTTTTTGAGCTCTTTGGAAGTTATTATTTGTTAGTATATATTTTCATCTTTTACGTCTTCAGTGGTACATGGGGTTTCAAGTTAGAGCTCTGAAGTTTCGGTGGCAGTGGTATTTAGTTTTACGGGATGAAGTTATTAGCCTCATGACTAGACTTTGATCTTTACCAATCTTATTACTGACTTAGTGAGATAAGGGAGTACATCGGCCAGATATCTAACCTCGAATCACATTCGTGGTCGCCAAGTATTTTACCACTGATTCGTGGACGCATTGCTTGAAATAGGAGATGTTTACCTAAGGGGGAAGATGCAGAATGTCAGCATGACATTCTATGGAAGGAAGCATATGCTCATTTCACCAGTGAAATTCTTCACAAGTAAATCAGATATGCTCATTCATTTATTTTCACTCCTAATCCCTACAATGTTTTATTTCAATCTTATACTAAACACATTTCAACAAGTTTTTCTAATTACCATTTAGAAAAAGACGAGGAAAAACCGACTACAAGTGATAGTGAGTTCATCGGATCCATCTTGCTTTATGTGTAATGTTTAAGTTAATACTGCCAATTAAAGTATATATATATATCTGTTTATGTGCATGGTTCTTATGTGACTGACCTCCTATCCCACTCTAATCAGACACATGCTGTCACTTCTAATCTCAAGTTTTTCTTCGTAGTTTGCGCTGTCTGACAACAAGTGATTCAGCAATGCATTCGACGTTATTAACTGCGAAGTTGCCGATGAAATTATTTGGTTTACTACAGTCACCAGAAAATCGCCGAAACTGCCAATCCTGTGTTCAAACCATGCCTTCTTAAACAAACTTCCTTATATACTCTGTCAATTATTACCATAATGAACTTTATTCACATTGATAACGAATCTGCTAATACACGAGTTTGAGGTATTTACCCAAAATTGCTAATTTCCAATATTTTGTGGGCATTTGCTTTCGAATAGTTTAAGACATTCTTATCCCTCCTCTTTGCTGATAATCTCAGCTACTCACATTATTATTATTATTATTATTATCACTTTACAATGTTTTGCATGTTTGTGATACTCCTGTCGCTAGAAATGCTTGAAATAAAAACTGCCATTGACAATCCTGTAATAATATTAATTCACATAAGTATTTCTAATTTTAGCCGTTGAAATTTAAAAGCGAAGTTGCACCAAACGGTGAAAATTTGCAAAGTTTATCATTAGTACTTTTTCTCAATGAGGCAAACTACTATAATTATTATTACTATTTGTAATTTAATATTTATTTAATATTTATTAGCATTTCTAATCAGATTTGTAAGCGTGCTGGACTATGCGTGCCATTAATCTGTCTATACATTCTCTTAAATCAAGAAGACGAGGCCTTTTTCGGTCCCCTTCACCAGAACACTATGTATTTTCTATTCACATCATTCCTCATAATGTGAAGTTCGGACGGGCTAGTTCTATCCTTCTTGTAACTATTGCAGATTAGGTGTATATCATTTCAGTGAGACTCACATACTTTTTGTGTAGTTATATAACTGAAGAGTATTTGATGCAAGTTTCACTGTTCAAACTACTCACAACAAGAGTCATATTTGATTATGCACTTATGCATGCAGTATGAGTTGCATAATATTGCTATTTAGGCTCAAACTCACCACATATGTCCAATTTCTTATAAATAATATTTAGAAGACCAACCAACAAAGACCAATGCAAGTAATGGTGAGTTAACCGCTTCTACAACTATCTAGTAAGAGTGTGAAACAAATATAACCTGGTGGATAATTTTATACGAAGAGGACAAGCTGAATGTTGTTCATGACCACTTGATGGTGTAGCAGTCAGACTTCAAACATGAAAGCGCATTCGCTTAATCAACTTGTATGCAAGAAATCCAGTATTCGCATTAGAAAATGTACACATTTTATTTCGAGGCCTTGACTTTAGCTTATGACAGCATAAATGATAGTAGGAACAATTAAGACACAATTTATGAGATTTTCAATGAACGAAATTCATTCATAAAGGTCTCAGATCTAGACCACAGAAATGATTGGAGTGAGACTTCATTCACTCTTATTACATGAAAACAACGAAATACAGCAGTTCTACTTCATTTTGTTGCATCCACTGTTATCCGTCAACTTACATCCAACATCTGCGAATGCAGGGAATGATGACTAATCACATTGTCACACTGGTAACGATTAGGCAATGTTTTCGACCCACTGGTCTTAATTCACTTATTTAAATTGTTACATGCTTCCTAGGATATTATCACTCAATCTGCTTCCTGCATGTTTCTCAGTGTTAAGTGTCTCTGGTTGTCAGCCACTTACGTAAACTTCTCAAATCACCTATCAATGCTGGAAAATCCCCATCAGACCATCTTATGCAAACGAACAAGCAGCTTAGCTTCTGTTCCTCTGGGAGCAATCTGTGTTTTTACTACTGTAATAGTTATGTGCTTCTTTGTGGTTATTTCCAGCTGAAGAAAGCTTCACCACAAAATGTGCTGACGTTTTGCTTCAAATTTTGTTTCACTTACTCTGAAGGAACTAACTCTGTTTGCAAGAATCAGTGTAAATAATTCCTACCTATATGATTTTTCAGTTAAATGGTCATGAGAATACTAGACAATGATTTCACCATACACCCTGTACACAAAGGATTCATACATGTTCATGCATTCATCTTCATAATTGTCCACAATTGATATAATACGTTTTATTAACCGAATATTCTTGGCATCTGACTAATTATTTCCGATCATCTTTTAGCAACCGAATCAACAAAAGTGGAGCAGACTCCTGGTGAGTGCTCTGTTTGTATGCCTGAAGAATAAGAAAAGTAGCATTAACTATGCAGGTGATGTAATGTATAGCGAACACGCTGAATTTTATGGTATTCCACTTGTAATCGTAAGGATTAAATCTATTTATGAAATCAATATTTCGGTGTATTCATATTTTAGAGCATTTGAAGCAAATTTCAGATATATTTTTATGAGAGATTGAATGACGTGTCAGTTGACTCACTGTGTTATCTTCAACTAATTTTGTCTGTACTGCGTCAAATAATGTTTGCTATTTTAAGCTGTCACATGTATATTCTCATGTGTGCAAAACATCATCAAGGATTATTTTATTCTTTGACATTATTGTGTGAATTTTAGTCTCTGGCTGATTCCCTTGAGTACGAGGAATCTAATAATAATTACCTGAGTGCATTTTTGATGTTTCCTCTCGTGTTTAAAATTTCTACATTATCCCAATAAGAGTGATGTTTATAATTAGTAGACAGAAGACAAGTAGTTCAGCGAAGAGTCTCTTTTCGGCGAATTCATTTTCATAGCTGTACAATCGCAAATATATATGGTTATTTTGTGTGTGTGTGTGTATACATTAAATTTGTCAAACGAAAATACAATTAGTGAGTTCAGATGAATTGGATGTTGATAAGAGGATAGCAACAAAAGTGATGAGTTGTCATAAATGATTGTTAAATAAGAGTTACGTAATGGCATGAATAGTTTGATGAATGAGTTGTGCTCAAAGGGTGTACATGGAAACAAAATAATATACAGAATTACACAAGGGTTTTAAGTTAGAAAAATAAGCATACAAACAGAAGTAAGGTCAAATCAAACAAACAAAGAAAAGTTAGGTCAAATCAAAGGAGTAGTTACCATGCGAGTAGAAGTGGTTGGATAATTTTCTTTTGTATGCATAGTTTTGGTTCCTCCAACTGGATGGCTAGGGCTTCTGCGATGCAAAGAAGACGGAATCGTACTGTCTTTGGAAGGTTGTTCTTCACTTTGTAGATTACTTTGAAGGAGGCGTTCGTTGAGATGGAATGACCAGTATTGACGAGATGTTCGATTATTGCACTCCTTATATGGCCATTATTTCCTTTCTGTAGCCACGCTGGATAGTGTTCTTTTACCCTTTTAGACAGGATGCGCGTTGAACGACCGATGTACCTGGCTCCACAGCAACAGGTGAACTGATATATACACATAGAAGTGGTCATGTGCGGAATCTTGTCCTTCGGGTTTCTGCAGATCAGCGGGCGACTGGAGAACACTATTCTTAGTGTTGCCGCAGGGAAAGTTCTTCCTAAAGAGGTGGAAATTCTCCTTCTGAGGACGTCACTAAATAGGTCTCCTTTGAAGTCTAGGTTCATATAAAGTATCTTTTTCGGCACGGACAGTGTCTCTTGCTTTTGGTTTTTCTGTTTGATGTTTTTCTCTACAAATCTTGGTGGGTAGCCATTTTGTATGAAGATTTCTTTCAGGAAGTTTAGTTCTTCTTCCATGGTGTCGGAGCTGCAGATGCGTCTGACGCGAGTGGCAAGGGATTTAATTAGGTTTCTTTTCCGACTGATTGGTACCCAGCTGTAGAAACTTGTTAATTGTCCGTTCCAAGTCGGTTTCCTATGGATTGACCTTCTTAAAATTCCGTCATCTCTCCTTGTAAGCTCAACATCAAGAAAAGGGATTTTAGATTCATTTTCAGTTTCCAAAGTGAACTTTGTGGCTGGATGGCATTTGTTGAATGTTTGCAGTAGTTGATTGAGATCGTGACCGTCATCACAGATGATAAAGATGTCGTCAACATATCTAACGTACAACTGGAAATTGTCGATGGTTGATTTGAGTGGGCCATTCTCGAGGCTTGCCATGAAGCAGTCTGCTAGTAATGGGCCCAGTGGAGATCCCATTGCGATCCCATCTTGTTGTCTGTAGATAATGTCGTTGAATGTGAATTGCACATTTAGTGTACATCTCAGTAGTAGTTCTTTTAAACAGGTCGTCGGTAATCCGATGTTCAGCTGATTTTCGTCGATATAGTGACAAATATAAGAGACAGTTTCTGTGAGTGGAACGTTGGTAAATAGTGATTCAATGTCGAGGGAGAGCATAGTTTTGTTCTTTGTATTGATATCTTTAATGTAATCGACGAATTGGAAAGTGTCACGAAGTGAATGGTGGCACATTCGTTTTCGTACAGGTTCTAAAATGTCAGTGAGCCATTTCGCTATTGAATGGTACGGGGAACCTGACATATCCAGAATTGGACGAAGTGGGCAAGGCAACATAGAGAAGAATTAAATCAACTAAAACAAAATGAAGAACTCCTTATAACTCGTCCAGACAAAGGAGCCGGTATAGTCCTTATGGACAAGAAAGACTACATTGAGAAAATGAACAACATCTTGTCAGATAAAACAAAATTTTCGCAAACACCCAACGAAAGAAACAAAACGGAACAGATTGAAAAGCAACTCACCGATGTCCTGAAAAGAATGCAAACCCAAACGTTAATCACTCATGAAGTCTATGATCAGATCCGACCGACAGGGTCAACAATACCAAGACTATATGGCTTACCAAAGACACATAAAGCCAACCTCCCACTTCGTCCAATTCTGGATATGTCAGGTTCCCCGTACCATTCAATAGCGAAATGGCTCACTGACATTTTAGAACCTGTACGAAAACGAATGTGCCACCATTCACTTCGTGACACTTTCCAATTCGTCGATTACATTAAAGATATCAATACAAAGAACAAAACTATGCTCTCCCTCGACATTGAATCACTATTTACCAACGTTCCACTCACAGAAACTGTCTCTTATATTTGTCACTATATCGACGAAAATCAGCTGAACATCGGATTACCGACGACCTGTTTAAAAGAACTACTACTGAGATGTACACTAAATGTGCAATTCACATTCAACGACATTATTTACAGACAACAAGATGGGATCGCAATGGGATCTCCACTGGGCCCATTACTAGCAGACTGCTTCATGGCAAGCCTCGAGAATGGCCCACTCAAATCAACCATCGACAATTTCCAGTTGTACGTTAGATATGTTGACGACATCTTTATCATCTGTGATGACGGTCACGATCTCAATCAACTACTGCAAATATTCAACAAATGCCATCCAGCCACAAAGTTCACTTTGGAAACTGAAAATGAATCTAAAATCCCTTTTCTTGATGTTGAGCTTACAAGGAGAGATGACGGAACTTTAAGAAGGTCAATCCATAGGAAACCGACTTGGAACGGACAATTAACAAGTTTCTACAGCTGGGTACCAATCAGTCGGAAAAGAAACCTAATTAAATCCCTTGCCACTCGCGTCAGACGCATCTGCAGCTCCGACACCATGGAAGAAGAACTAAACTTCCTGAAAGAAATCTTCATACAAAATGGCTACCCACCAAGATTTGTAGAGAAAAACATCAAACAGAAAAACCAAAAGCAAGAGACACTATCCGTGCCGAAAAAGATACTTTATATGAACCTAGACTTCAAAGGAGACCTATTTAGTGACGTCCTCAGAAGGAGAATTTCCACCTCTTTAGGAAGAACTTTCCCTGCGGCAACACTAAGAATAGTGTTCTCCAGTCGCCCGCTGATCTGCAGAAACCCAAAGGACAAGATTCCGCACATGACCACTTCTATGTGTATATATCAGTTCACCTGTTGCTGTGGAGCCAGGTACATCGGTCGTTCAACGCGCATCCTGTCTAAAAGGGTAAAAGAACACTATCCAGCGTGGCTACAGAAAGGAAATAATGGCCATATAAGGAGTGCAATAATCGAACATCTCGTCAATACTGGTCATTCCATCTCAACGAACGCCTCCTTCAAAGTAATCTACAAAGTGAAGAACAACCTTCCAAAGACAGTACGATTCCGTCTTCTTTGCATCGCAGAAGCCCTAGCCATCCAGTTGGAGGAACCAGAACTATGCATACAAAAGAAAATTATCCAACCACTTCTACTCGCATGGTAACTACTCCTTTGATTTGACCTAACTTTTCTTTGTTTGTTTGATTTGACCTTACTTCTGTTTGTATGCTTATTTTTCTAACTTAAAACCCTTGTGTAATTCTGTATATTATTTTGTTTCCATGTACACCCTTTGAGCACAACTCATTCATCAAACTATTCATGCCATTACGTAACTCTTATTTAACAATCATTTATGACAACTCATCACTTTTGTTGCTATCCTCTTATCAACATCCAATTCATCTGAACTTACTAATTGTATTTTCGTTTGACAAATTTAATGTATACACACACACACACAAAATAACCATATATATTTGCGATTGTACAGCTATGAAAATGAATTCGCCGAAAAGAGACTCTTCGCTGAACTACTTGTCTTTTGTCTACTAATGTTCGAATGGGAATTATTCATGAATGTTTATAATTATCCAGATGGATTGATACGAAAGAATATATATCATATTTTTCCTCACTTAATTTGTCTTCTTCGATTTAGATTCGAAGGGGACGTCCACTTTGACTGAACCAATGTTTATCAGAGTTAATGCGATTTATTTTGTAGATTAGATTAATCACCTTTTCCTCCTATGTTGAACTTTCAGTTTGCACAATGTCAAATGAAGTGGCTGTGTCAAATTATGTTCCTTGTTAATGATGTAAAATAAGCTCAATATTCGAGCTGCTTTTATTATTATTTATTATTATATCCTTTAATTCCTAAAGAAACATAAGGGTTCAGCTGCGCGGCTCCATTGCCTTCGGTTTTCTGCCAAATGTTTCACCCCACTCCAAGTCTGCCTACATGCTTTGATCTCCTCTTCAAATGACCTCCTCCAAGTCACCCTCGCAATGACGACCAACTCGCCTCTTCCCTTTCAGGTTCCACTCGAGCAATGGCTTGCCTAGTGATGTCACTTGATGGTTTCCTCAGAGTATGGCCTCCAATCCACCTCCATTTCTTCCCGTCTATTTGTTTCATAATCGATTCCTGTTTAGATCGCTCCCAGAGATTCTTGTTGCCGATCTTTTCTGGCCGGCCATCTGATCTTGAGTATTCACCGAAGACAGCTGCTGATGAAGGTCTGAAGTTTGTTGGAGATGCTCTTTACGACGCGCTGGCCAAGTCTCTGACCCGTAGAGTAGCACTGACTTCCTTTCGGAGTTGAAAATCCGGATTTTGCTTTCATCTTCATGCTGAGTGCTGTTGACCTCCACACAGACTTAAGAGTAATGAAAGCCTGTCTTGCTTTTCCGATTCTGGCTTTTATATGCTTGTCAGTTCTGTTGGCCTGTAGTTGAAACGATGCTTCTCAGATAGGTAAATAGGTAGGTAAAGGAGGTTATTTGTTTCAGGTTCCTCCCATGTATGCTGGCTGACTGTTGTCTGTTGTTGTTGCTGTTGGTGTTGGCTAGGAATCTTCATCACGTCTGCTTTCTCTTTGCTCACCTGAAGTTCTATCTTTGATGCTTCTTCTGCCAGCTTGTTGCTTTTCACTTACATATCTTCCAGTTTATGCGAAATCAGACATATATCATCGGCGAAGTGCAGATTCTCCAAGTTTTTGAGACGGTCCATTTTATGCTTGTTTCCTCGTTGCCGTTGCCTGTCGCATTATCCACTCTACTGTAATCAGGAAAATTTTTGGCGATAGTAGACAGCCTCACCTCACTTCCGTCCTCATTTCGAAGGCTTCCGTTGTTATTTCACGGATATTCAGTGTACATGGCAGAATAACTTTCCTTATATAAAGCTGATTTCTTGCTAGGTATCACCACATTAGTTTGTGCACGCTTTAGCGAAACTGTGTGGGTATTTATTATTTTTGAAGACGGTTACTTGTTATCTCTCCGACACTAGAGTTCTACAGTGTGTTTGAAATTTATTTTAAACCGTGTTTACACGCAGTTTCTTCTGTAGGTAATGTGCTTATAACTATTAGTGTTGAGTATGTTCGGTCTTTGTGCGTTCACTGTCTGCATACTTGTGTTTCTAAATTTCCTAATTTTAACTCTTGTTTACAAGACATCTTCAAATGGAATTTCGCTGTCTATCAACATCTAGTCACGACAGTGGCCACCAGAAGATACACTGACATTATTCATGGAGACCGTGAATGAGTTCGTTTCATACTAAAATCCAACGCTGAAAATGTTGTCAAGAAAGATGGCAAAATCTTTGCAATTAAAGCAACCAGCTGCTTAGAAAACACAGATGATCCAATAGCATCTACCTGAGCTACAAATTATCTCCGTTATTTTAAAAATATGTGTGTATATAGATATATACACATTGGCTGAATAGCAGTAGCTGTTGCCATTTAGTAGGCAGACAACATTTGTGTATTTTCATGAATCCACTAACCATCGTGCAACTTGACTATTTCACAAAAACGTTTTCATTATCGTTTTGCTAAAGAAGATTAAAAAAGTGGAAAAGGTTGCTGGTGAGGCATTTCTTTGTATATCTAGATGGTGAGATGGTCAGGAGACAACTGATATACACTACGCAACTGGATGTGCAGTGAACAAGCCGAATATTTTATTCAAGCAGTAATCAACACGTGCGTCGGTGGCATAGCGGTTGGTCACTCGCCGACCATGCACAGCGTCTGTGGTTCGATCCCCGGCCAACGCATTGCCTTATCTCGCGAAGCCAGTAATAAAGCTAGTGTGCAGTAAAGGTTAGGTATGCGTCTAGCAACCCCATCCTGTAAAACATAACACTGCTACAGAAACTTCAAGCCTTCTAGCTTAAAGCCCTATGTTCGACCTGGAAGGCGAGGGAAAAAATGAAACAAAACAAAGTAATCAACACACACAGACATTGGTATGAAATCTATTCACCCCATATTATTATTATTTTTGAATTATTGCTCCCTTGGTTTCCTAGTAGAACACACGGATTCTACTGCACGTCTCCATTAGCTTCTGTCTTCTGCTGTACTTTTCACCTGTATCTATGTTAGTCCATACTCTTTCAACTCCTCTTCACACGATCTTCTCCATGCCACAACTGCACTGACGTCCCACTGGCCTCCTCCCTTTTGCGTTCCACTCGAGCAATGGCCTGACGCGCGATGTCACCGAGTGTCCAATCCATCTCCCCTTTCTTCTGCATATTTGTTGGTTGACGATTGGTTCTTGTTTTTTCTTTGTTCTCATAGTTTGTTGTTGTTGATTCCTTCCGGCCATCTGATCTTCAGTATAGAGCGAAGACATTAGTTGATGAAGGTCTGCGACAGGGTGTTGGAAATATTCTTTGTGACCCACCCACCAAGTTTCTCATCCGTATAAAAGAAGTGACTGACTTGACGTGTTTGTATTGAAGATCCGACCGAATTTTGTTGTTGGTGTTGAGTGACGAAGATTTCCAGATTTGTTTCAGGTTGATCAATGTGTTTCTCGCCTTCCTGATTCTCGATTTGACATCCTCGTCCATTCCGACTGCCTGTAATTGAGACAATGCTCCCTAGATAAGTGAGTGAATGAAGTGACCTCTTTCAAATCCCTCCCGTTGATGTGATTGACGCTGGATGTTGCTGCTGTTGTTGTTGTTGGTTGATTATTTTCATCACCGCCGTCTTGTTTATGTTCACTTGGAGTCCCGTTTTTGCTGCTTCTTCGACCAGTTTGTCGGTTTTCGCTTGAAAGTCTTCGATTTTGTGTGACATCAAAACATAAATCATTCACGCGCGAAATCCAGGTCTTCTAGGTTCTCCGCGTCGGTCCAGGATATTCCTGTCTTCTCGTTTCCCATTCAATGTCTGACGCATAATCCAGTCGACCACAATTAGGAATATCACTGGTGATAATAAGCACCCTTGTCTGACTCCCGTGTTCACTCCAAACGCCTCGCTGAGTTTTCCGTTGTGGATGACTTGACATGTGCCGTTGTCGTACAGCTGTTGAATAAGGTTGATGAATATTTGGCACACTTTACGCCATAATACTCGAGTAATTTCCAAATTACTTCACGATCAAGGCCTTTTCAAAGTCTATAAAAATGAGGTAGAGGTTTGATTGATGGCCATTCCATGCTTTGTTCGATGATGATGCGTAGAGTTGCAATTTGGTCAGAACATGATTTGCCTTTCCTGAATCCAGCTTGTTTTGTCCGGAGTTCTGCATCCAGTGCGTCTTTTATTCTCTCCAGGATTATGAGACTCAGCATTTTGCTTGTCGTCGACAGGAGCATGATTCCTCACCAATTCTTACAGAGTCCTAAGTCGCCCTTTTTTTGGTAGTTTCACGAGGTCACCTTTCGTCCATTCAGTAGGCACATTTCTCACCGTAATTCCGTGAAATTATCAATGTTATCAAATTGGTACTGACTTTCACCACATTGTATCCCCTATTAGATGATATCTCATTAAAATGCACACTAACAGTCCTTCTCTTAGGATTACAACTGAAAGTACACTAAAACATTTTCATTTGTATCTGGAAAAGGCATGGGTGAATTCTTCTTCGACTTAATCTGTTATTTTTCAACTACTTCATTCCGCTCTACATCAGATGATCCATGACTTAATCACTGAGGATATTGACACATGACTGAAATAAGAAACCCCTAGACTAGGATATTTTATAGGTGTTGATGTCAAGCGTTGTATATCTTCTCAACATCTATGAATAATGTATCCAGAATTGAAGTCAAGCTCTCACCTGATCATATTCAATATATCCTCTCATGTTCTTCTCTGTTAAGATCTCTATTACGAGTGAGTGCAGATGCGTGCCTCCAGATATCTGGAAGTAACAAAAAAGTAATTGAAGTCTGATAAATATAGAGAAATCCAATACAATATTAGTCAAAGTCATCTCAATACTAATGAATCAGTATTCTACTAATCATTTTAATTTAATCATTTTACTTCTAATTAAAATGGATTTTTTCAAAATGCAAAAGTAGCTCCACCAAGTAAGTGAACACCCTCTCATAACTTTATTACTTCGTCCCTGTATATATCGAACGTTTTAGTAATTAGGAACACTCAACTTGAAAGTAATCATTCGGCGAAGTTCGTTAATAGTGAATTGTAACCTCATGAAATGTCGTCTCAAGGCGAATGCGCAACTACGGAGTAAGAGATATCACCATAGAGAATGAATACGAAGTGAACCGAAGATTCGTTGAGTTAAAATACATTACAAGAATCTACTACATTCACAAATCATCTATCAGTGACGTTCAGTGATATCTAAATATAGATATGATAGAGAAGATTTGTAGCTCAGGTGGATGATTTTGATATGGTTTGTTCTCTGAGCTGGATGGTTAGTTTGCGAAGCTTTCATCACCCTACTGGGTGACATCTCCAGCGCATACTTCAATTTAAAGTGAGCTTTTAGATTTCTCCACGAGTTTATTATTCATCTCTCCTGGTGACCTTAGACGTGATTGGTTGTTTGTGTGTGTTTTCACACCTTCTAGGTTACTTGTATTGGAACTGATTGTTTCTTTGACTTGAACTTTGACCCTTTGTGTGTGAAGTTTCTTTCTTATCGGTTGATAAATTTTGTCTCTCTCGATGTGTCTATTGATTGATGATTCACTGGAATGCCAAGCTTCTAAAAATTCTCTAGCATTCTTGTTATTTCCTTTGTCTAATATTTGAACGTTGTCCCAGTCGAATTAATGTCCGTAGTTTTCTGTGTATAGTGAAATGAGGGAGTGGATATCATGTCTTTTGACGGCCAACTTATGTTCGTGGATACGAAGACGAAGGGGACGTCCACTTTGGCTAATGTAGTGTTTTTCGCAGTTGTTACAGTTTATTTTGTAGACGATGTTGGTTTTGTCTTCTTTCGCTGTTGAGTCTTTTGGTTGACATAGAATTGAGTGCAGCGACTTTGTTGGTTTGTAAACGACGTCAATTCCTAAAGGTTTGAAGTGTCTTGTAGTGAGTTCTGAGTTCAATCAGGAGCACCTGTCATCGCTGATCACCGCAATTACACTGTCAATGGAAAACACAGAGAACAAAGACGAAGAGTCCTCAAAACCAAGCTAGCCAAGATTAGAAAACAACAACCAGACAATACGCCCATAGACTGCGTAGTCAACCTATCAAAACAACCACTATCAAAAATGGAACAACAACTACTACAAAAAGGATTAAACTACAACACCGGAGATGCTTCAAAAACTGATTTCTTCGCTGCCTTTGAATCATTACTCAAATCATCAAACTTGAACGAGGAAACACAGGAAGAGATACGCCAAACAATTGTACCAATGGTCAAACAGAAAAGACAACACACAAAACTCAACGCTCAAGAACTAAAGGCCCTCAAAAAGCTGAAAAATTTTACCAGCCGACAAAGGAAGAACAACAGTAGTCATGGACAGAGAAGAATACACCAAGAAAGCTGAAGAACTACTCAAAGATGAAGATGTATATCAACAACTCCCAACAAATCCCATACAAACATTGGATAACCGCATCCAAAGGACCTTAAACAAGCTCACCAAAACTGGACAGATCACAAAACAAGACCAATGGCGAATGAAATCCAATGGACCAGTCCTACCTCGATTCTACGGCAGACCCAAAATACACAAGGCAAATATCCCGTTACGACCAATTGTATCACTCCCAGGAACTCCAACATATAATTTATCCAAGAATTATACAGAAAACTAAAACACCTAACGGAATCTTGTGATCACTCCATCAACTCTGCTATCCAATTCCTAGAGAAAATCAGAGGCATCCAAATAGATGAACAAGAAATAATGGTATCATTCGACGTGACAGCATTATATACCTCTATCGGACAAAAACTAGCAAAAGAAACCATGGAGCAATTACTTAGCAACGACGAACAACTTCCACAACAATCAAAAATGCAACACACAAGCTGGATGGAATGCATAAATCTATGCCTAACAACATACTTCCAATTCAACGGCCAAATATATGAACAAGTCAAAGGAACACCCATGGGATCGCCAATATCAGGTTTGATTGCAGAAGCAGTGATGCAAAGACTCGAAAACATAATTCTACCAAAGATCAAACCCAAGATTTGGATACGCTACGTCGACGACACATTTGTAATAATCAAAAGAAACGAATTAGATAAAACTCACAACTTAATAAACAACGTCTTCAACGACATCAAATTCACAAGAGAAGAGGAATCCGAGAACAAAATACCATTTTTGGACGTCTTAGTCAGGCGAACAACTACAGGAGAATTAGAAACTCAAGTTTATAGGAAATCAACTCACACAGACCAAATACTGAATTACAACAGCAACAACCCAATAACACAAAAGGAATTGCATACAAACACTATTCAAGAGAGCAAGGACTCACTGCAGCACTCCCACCTTAAGAAAAATTGAAGAAAAGTATCTCATGGACGTCTTCCAAAAGAATGGATATCCACGGAATTTCATCAAGAGACATATACCCCCAAGCCAACCTACCAAAGCAAAAGCCACCAAGGAAACACAAAGAAAATCGCCTTACCATATATAAAGATATCTCAGAAATCACTACAAGACTCTTCAAACCTTTAGGAATTGACGTCGTACACAAACCAACAAAGTCGCTGCACTCAATTCTATGTCAACCAAAAGACTCAACAGCGAAAGAAGACAAAACCAACATCATCTACAAAATAAACTGTAACAACTGCGAAAAACACTACATTGGCCAAAGTGGACGTCCCCTTCGTCTTCGTATCCACGAACATAAGCTAGCCGTCAAAAGACATGATATCCACTCCCTCATTTCACTACACACAGACAACTACGGACATCAATTCGACTGGGACAACGTTCAAATATTAGACAAAGGAAATAACAAGAATGCTAGAGAATTTTTAGAAGCTTGGCATTCCAGTGAATCATCAATCAATAGACACATCGAGATAGACAAAATTTATCAACCAATAAGAAAGAAACTTCACACACAAAGGGTCAAAGTTCAAGTCAAAGAAACAATCAGTTCCAATACAAGTAACCTAGAAGGTGTGAAAACACACACAAACAACCAATCACGTCCAAGGTCACCAGGAGAGATGATTAATAAACTCGTGGAGAAATCTAAAAGCTCACTTCAAATTGAAGTATGCGCTGAAGATGTCACCCAGTAAGGTGATGAAAGCTTCGCAAACTAACCATCCAGCTCAGAGAACAAACCACATCAAAAATATATCTGGATATTTCATACGTTTCTATTCATTAATAAATGCCTTAAATGGTTACTATGATGCTAGTGATGACGGAATCGTACGACGCATAAATCCCATCCAATTGCGGGTAACCATGACTTTTATAGTAGTTCAACTGTGGAGGAAGTACTTGGTGGTTATATTCATGTGATCTAATTTAATGACATAAAGAAGACCCATTAATAATCTGTAGTCACTGAAAAACCTTATCCAAACACCAATCACATTAACAATCACTTAATTACCACCTCAAACAGTCGGTGTATGTATGATTTTCTGCATTCGGTTCACTTATACGTATATTTCGCGAATGATACCTCATGTAGCGGTACACTTTGTGAGATATCTGTTACGCACTATAACATACGGCCTGCGGAAGCTGAATGAGTGATGCATGGCTACCACATTGATATCTGGAAGTGTTTTGTCCATCTCTCTGGTATGCGTATTGAATATCATTAACTACTTACATTGCATCACTGTTGATTTCTTCTTCTATGCGTATTTCAGAGAAAGAACCTGAATTGATTATGAAGGATGGTAAGATTTGTAAATTGATATCTTCCCACAGTAGAATTAAAAGTGAATCATGAATGCTTTATCAGGTCATTTGGCGTTTGCTCAGCGGACTCAAACGTATATGTAGCACCCATTTCGTAGAATTTATATCATACTAATCTCTGTGAGAATAATTCAGTGAATGGATTAAAGTATCATCTCGTTTAATTGGTTACATGTAATGCACCTGATAGTAATAAGTGAGACAAAATTCTATATTACTCTGAGTGGGAATGAGGGAAGTTCTGTCCACGAATACCAACTAAATGATACATTTTATGAGGTGGCTGAGATAAGTTATTTGATATCACCTGTCAGACAGATCAAAAATAAACGATAAGCGATACACCTAACAAGGACACTGCTTCATTATATCATTCAGTTTCATACAGCAGTGAACATATAAACAGATGGTTTAGAAGGAAGCCGATTGTTCAGTGTAGTAATCAATTTTGAAAACCACCTCAATCACTGAGAGCTATTATTCGTTGAAAAAATGTGGATAATCAATGCCCCCCAAGTAAGAAGTTTCAATAAATTTTTACCATAGTTTCCTCAATAGTTGAAGTAGCTCTCTGGCTATTCCAGGTATATTATGTAAGTTTCCGATTTGAAATGTACTCATTGATACTTATTTTTATTCTCAGTGAACTTGTAGATATAACTAACTATATGTGTTGTTATTTCTTGCAACAAGCTCTTACTAGCATTGGTCTTCAAGAAGTATTTACACGTCTTCTAATTTCATAATAAAATATCATCACAGTGAACGTTTATTGTTTATGTGTGTTAATATTGTATTATTGTTATTGTATTAATATCATTGTAAACCACAATACTGGTTTTAACAGAATCGCAGTTAGCTGGTCTCACCATAATGAAACGATGAATAAGTTAAAGTTGATATCTTTCTGATATTTGCTAAATTCGGAGATGGAAGTACCTCCTAGCCTGACGCATCTCAGATTAGATCCTTATAAGCAGTCAGCATTACAACTTTGAATATCATAGTTCCTTCACTTGGGTTGAAGAAAGTGATCACATTCGCGGAATGAGATGATTACATTTTATCAGAGAGACAATCCAGTAACACATCTTTCAAACTGAAATATCTATAAGTCAATATGAAAACAAAAATACTTTGAATTTTGAAGAGACACAACAGAACGTATTACCGATGTTTTGATCGATCAGAGTTCGCCAAATCTCCTCAGATATACGAATACTGTCAAAGTTGTTCATTATGGATGGCTTCTGATTGAAACTTATAGCGTTTTGCAAGTCGATTTAGAGAGAATTCATTTACACATGGATGCCAGGTATATGACATGATGACGGTTGTAGCAACTGTAGCTCTTATATATACATATACGCATATGAAATCACATTTCTGTGTAGTACTAAACGTTGTATTGCATTCAAGACGCACATGGTGAGTTGCATTTTATTCACTATTCTATTTACATCTAAGTATTACAGATGGTCAAAGCATCAGTTGAAACGTGAGATTAGAAATGACACTGGTCACGTGATTATTTATACGTGAAGTGCTGGGTCTCAAAATGTGTCATTGAATCCCAAGAGCCAACTTACAAACGACATATTGTCTGAGTAGTTATTCAGATTCTTCAAAGAGAAAGATGGAAAACACAGAAGCTTACAGAAAAGGATCGACAGAGACTTTTAGCCTTTCATCCTCACTGAACAAATCTCAACACCAGTCAGAAATGTTTGGGACTATTTCTTTCTGTTTTGTGATATTTCATTAATGAATTCAGTATGTAGTGAGCAACGCATTATGTGATTTTTGGTGATTAGAAAAGTACCGATTTCATTAAACGCAGTATAACGTTGGCGCGAGAATTAAGTAGAACCTAAATTTAACAGGTAGAGTTTTGTGATTAGAACTGGGAAACATCTTCATAAAATTCAGAATGCAATCTGATCACTTTCAACTTGCTTTTTTTTAGATCCATTAAGTAAGTTGTTTTGTTTTGATAGCTTCAATATTGTTTTTATCAGTGAATCCGTCATGTACGTTGACAATTTTTGCAACGATCTTTCGTCATCTTTATCCTCCACGAATAGTTTACATGTGATATCATGTCATAATCAAAGTGGAGGTTGGTTAACAGTATGTGTAATGGTTGTTGGTTGCTTTTGCCTTGCATAATTCTAGTGTTGACTGAATCTCGACCTGTTGGTTTCACCGACCAAAAACCTCACGACAAATGCATCACCTACTAATATCTTGCTGAATGTCAATAAACTCGGAGTACAGAGCATTTTCTGATGTGATACAGCTTAGATTATACTCCACTATGCAGTCAACATAACACTTAAATGTCATTGTTTCTTCAATCGCTTTTAGCAGAGTGAAGACTTTCACATTCCCAGTATAGAATGATTCTAATAATTCGACAGACACTCCAGAAAAATGTTCTCCAAAATGAAATATCTACAAGTTTAGATGAAAGAAAAATACCCTGAATTTCTGAGGCGTCACAACAGAAAGCACAGAAATTGTTAAGAATAATAAGCAACGAAAATTGAGGTGAGACAGAACACACATCACCAATTTTAACATGCATGATAGTTTTCTGAGTCACACCGTTACTCAGTGTGTAGACAGAATTTCTGGTAATATGGGTGGGTGATTAGCTCACTTTGTCGCTTGCTGTGTCAGTGATTGGATAACAAAGAGGTTTTGCCGAATTTCCGCAAAATTTCACATGTTGCTGATTTGTGATGCGATATAATGTTTCTGGTTGCTATTATGCGCTTTGGAATGCCCGGATCAAATCCATTTTCATAAGTGACTGACAAAATTATGCAATTATAGTGCTTCTAATAACTGTAGTTCTCATATGTATGCTAAATCACATTCCTGTGTTGAACTAAACGTTTTTTTGCATTCAAGGTGAATCGGGTGAGTTGCATTTTTATTCATCAAGCTGGGTACATCTACACATATGAAATGAATATTATATGAAGATAAACGTAAGGGCAGAAACGGTACTGCTTACCTGAATCTTAAGAAGTGGAGTGCCGAGTCTACTACTGCGCTATAAATATTTAGAACCGCCTCACTGAAGATAGATTGCCTGAGATGTGATTCAACACCTAAAATCAAACACAGATACTTTATAGGATAGGATTGAAACTGTCTTGAAGCCTTCCATCCTCAACCAATAAATTTCAATATGAATCAAAAATGTTAAAACTACTTCGGCTGTTTTGTGTCAATTTATTGATGTAATGTAATGTGCAACTGTTAATGAGATATAAAGTAATTCAGAAAACATAAGTTTCAGTGAGCTCAGTACAAAGTTGGATTGAAACGTGAGCAGAACATACATTCAAAAGATATAGCTTCGTAAGTGAAACAGAGAAACATCTAAATAAAATTCAGCTTAGAGTCATGAATAAAGTAGTGTAGGGAAATAACTTTGCATGGAGTAATAACGAATAGTTTATTTACATTAAATATCGCGAGTTCAATGTTCAGTGTCTTCCGAATACTCACGATGATTGCACCACTGTTAATGCAAGGAGTTGGTTGAACAAACTGAGAAGTCAGTCACTGTTTATTTGTTAGGTGTTAGTATTGACGCTGAAAATGTCTGCACCTCAGTATTAATCGGAAACAACAAGTCCCTATATTACTTGCCTTGGTGTCCTGTTGGAAGGTGATTTGATTTCTGAAACACTCCCAAGACGAAATAGATCATCTTGGGAATTGAAATAACCATCATGAGAGATCAGAATGACACGAATGCAGGGTATTTCGTCAATTCTCCTGAGATGAGGGAAAGTGCATTTGTGTAAGGTGATACTGAATGCAAAGTTCAATCAGAATGACGCACGATTAGAAACTTATGCTGATATTTCATGAAGACACTCATGTCTAAATTATTAGAAATCAGTTTCTCACATGATGAAGTTTCTTGGAATTCACAGTCTGAACTGCTTGCAAAAATGTTCCGTAGGTAATTGAACGACATCTTGATGTTGGTGAATTATGTCATCAGGGTTAGTAAAATGTGGTAACTGAATCATGTTGAAAGTATTGTCTGACCCCAAGACTTTTGATCATAATCAGCTCAAAGAGACAAAGGAGGTTTATAAGTCATTCTCAGAGTAGCAAGGAACTGCAAATACACCTTTAGTCCACTTAACAATAATTGATTTTGTCTTCACTGGCAAAACACACTGGGAATTCATTTTCTGAAATAACATGAAGTGTTTGTGTTTGGAGGATGTTTCAGGAATGATTTTCTGTGTACGTTGTTGTTGTATGCATCCCTATCAAATTTAGCTTAGTTTATCAGTAAGCCATATAACACCCTAACTGCATCGCGACATCGCATCCCAAGTGGTTGATACTCTTAATTGAAATAGAATTCGTCAAATATCTTTAGATTCATTTTTCGAATAATTTTCACAGTTTCAGAAAACGAGTAAGTAATTCATTAACGGATTCATAAACTTGAGTATTCAGTGAACTAATTTGACATGTATGTGTAAGTGACAGGGAGAATTTATATGGGATATGGTGTAAACAGCAGCAATACTCGCCTGTGAGACTAGCGTGTGTCAGTTGCGTTAAAATATAGAACTTGTAGAAATTAGAACTTATGAGCCATTCAGTCCCGAAGTAAGGTGAAACAGTTGCCCACTACTGACAGCTCGTTTTCACCAGTTCTCAAAGATACTGAGACTTTTCTGACTAAGATAAGAATTACTCAGTGAGACAGTTTAAAGTCTCCATTTACTAAACACAGAATTAAGATGTGTGGTTTGCATCAACCTTTCATATATTTAAGGTAGTGAGACATTGGTTAAAGGCATATGTGTGTTAGTGGATTTCAGTGAAATCCATGTGACGTGTCTCATCATGTGTGACCCATGAGCTAGATGTACTTAGGCATGATTTCACTCAGATTATTTCCATCTGACACAAAACTGATGATTACTCAAAGAGTAGAATATAAGAGCTGTGTGCGTTGGTGGTACAGTGGTTAGGACTCTCGCCGACCATGCACATGGTCCGGGGTTCGAGTCCACGCCGGCGCACACCTGATATGTATGGTCGGCCTGCAAATTTCGGGCTACCGATATCCATGCTGAAAATTCCACACTTGTCCCAGAAATACGGCGTGGAATCAAGCTGTAATCAAAAGTAAAAAATAAAAAATAAATATCTTGTCGTCTCACTGGTTACTAGTTCGACCACTTATTTTCCCATTCAAGGTATGACAGGTAAGCGGTAACATAAGGTTGAAAGTATTGCAAAACAAAAAGCGTCATGTATTTCGAATTCCGTTGTGTAGCTTCAGTTTAATGAAGTACTGTTTCATTCATTCTAATGCACTTATAACACTGGTAGTGAGACTATATATAACAAAGATGTAGATTGGTCATACTGGATGATACTCTCTTAGTCCAAAATCTTTACAATGTAATGTTTTTATCATATGAAGGTGAGTAATGCATATTCCTCATAGAATTATTGATATGGATGACTCTCAGGATAATTCTTATGTGAGTATTTATTTGTAAGATAGATAAGTATAAATGTTGAAAACTCGTTTTGTTTCTCTTTGTGGTTGCACATACCTGTTTGTCTCATCAGCAGGAGTTTCTGTCATAAGGGTTTTCAATACATCGCTTGTTATCGTCGCGTAAGGTAGCAGGAAGATAAGAAGATAGCTCAACCGAATCTACAGAACTAATTTACTAATGCTTATCATGCCTTGTGTAGTTTTGATTTAAACATAACAAGGCTTTAAATCAATTTATCACATATCAAGTGAATTATATTATAATAAAGGTTTTTGTATCTCCCAATGAATGAAAAACAAAACGATATTTACGTTTTTACTGCCGATTCGCTATTTAATACTAATAGCTTTAACAAGTGAATTACAGTTCATATTTCAGACGTAATGGGTAAGTGAAGTGTAGAAAAAGTGTTTATCTCTCTCTGAATATAAGCACCCTCTGGATTTATACAATGCACAGCTGGTAAAAGTATCGAATTTGGTGTTAGCCACATATGGTTACATATTTTAATTGAATATAACTTCAGTGAAGGTTTCATCAAAATATTATTTGAAATATACCGTAGAAACAGTGATCAGACTTTCATTTACGCTCACTCAGGTCACTGATTCCATCCTCATAAACGAAAATCAAGCATCATTTGAATTACTTCAATAATTAATAATTAATATTTATGTCAGCTCATGGTGAAATCCTGTAACCAATCAAATCCCTACAAACCAACACTTGAATATCAATGAGATGTTCACTAGCGACTTGCTCTATTCAGGTAGGAAGTTACATGGGGTTCTAGTGAGAAGTCGGGACCGGTAGGGTGCAGCAGGTCGGGTGTGAGGACAAATACTCGCCGAAGACATTGGATAGGGGTTGTCTTGAATCGGCAGAAGTTAGAATTCATAGGTAATTCGATCGGGTCCAATGGCTTAATTTTATACGAGCTCGCCTTGTAACTAGAAGGTCCTGAGTTCCGATCATGGTGGGTGCGTACTGCTGAAGAGTCCCAAACTACGACGAAATAGCTGTCTGGTACTCCCTGCAGGTTTTCCAATAGTTTTCTAACTAATGTCAGCTCATGATGAAATCCTGTAACCAATCAAACCCCCACAAACCAACACTTGAATAATAATTAATACTTTTTAGAACAGAATAATGACTCGTCTTTTCAGTGGAATTATTTGTTATCCATGCCTACAGATACTCACATTGATTGACACAGGCATTTTGATATGACTTTCACGAATAATGCAGCAATCGTTCACGAAGTTTCTCCATGTGACTATAAAATTTGATAAAACTAATTATGCTTGTGAGGTGAAACAATACAGATGGTGGAATACGATTAAGCTGAATTAAGAAATTCCACATCAATATGGAACAAAGTATACCAAATTTCAGGTAGTAATGTAGTAATCACGTTTTATAATTCGGCACATCTTTCATTCCGAAGGTTCAGCTGTTCTGACGGCCGTCTTCCTGAATAATCAGTCTAAATAAAATTCATGATAAGGTTAACTGACCCAGTAATTATTTGGCAACTTTATGAAAACGTGAGTTAGTGAAACGAATTCGGTGATATATAATTCAGTAACCAGAAATATTTTACTCACAATTTGTGTTACAATTAAATAATCTTCATCATTATTCTTCATTCCAATCAGAGCTCAAAGGTAAGTGGTGACAGAGTGATCCTGTGCTACAGTCAGAAGCAAGAATAATTAACTTTCTTCATTCAAATGCAGAACACGACTGTTTCAAGTGTAAACTAGAATTGACAGAAATGTTGAAATTTATAAAAGAAAATGAGACTGACTACAAAATAAAATTGATCTATGAATGATGTGAGTGAGAGTTTATCGAGTTTATCATCACTGCAAATCACAATTTAGCCCTGATGATTAGTCAGACATCGAAGGTAATGAGTTCAGTAAATGGAACAATACAGACTGATTTTTCGAGAAAATACAAGTCACTGCTTTCAGCACTTATGTTAAGCCTCAGCTCGGTAAAGTTTGATTTGAATTCACAGAAGTACTCTGCCAGTGTGATTGGAAAGTTACAGACCCATATGGAATAGTGTGTCGTTATATTATGACGAAACGTTTGCGATAACTCCTTATTTTCGAAAACCACTTTACATTTGTCTTATTCGTTCCATAGAGATACACCGAATGCTTGGTTCAAATAAGTAGAGCATTCATGAATTCAGGGAAATATGTAACACAGGATATGAATGCGTCAGTGGTCCAGCGGTCAGGGCTCTCGTTGACCATGCAAATGGTCTGGGGTTTGATCTCCTACTGATATACACCTGATATCATTTGGTCGGCCTGCAAAATTTGGCTTTGAGCAAAGCAAGAACTACAGTTTTAGTAGAAAAAAGTGGTATCATCTTTTATTTCGTCGCCTTCTCGTCAGCTGCTTACATGGCAAAGACATTATTAAATATATCTACAAAAACAACTTTAACATATTTGCACAGAGTTTATTTTAAACAAAATCAATCGATCATTATACGTATACACTGTAAGCCCTGTAAGCAGCTGACGAGAAGGCAACGAAATAAAAGATAGTACCACTTTTTTCTGCTAAAACTGTAGTTCTTGCTTTGTTCAAATTCATTAAGGGGGATAAATGTATGAAAATTTGGACTACTGAAAGTCCCATACTTCTACCAAAAGTACGGCGTGGAACCAAGCTGTAATTTAAAAAAAATAGGATTGTTGAACCGCGTTTACTTACTATATTCAAAACCACTTGAAATGCTTTCTGTTTAGAATTCATGGGTAAGTATGAATATTTATCAAGCAATGAATAATGTTTATCAATGCCCGTAGTAACTGTATATCGATTCTTCTTTCTTGATATAAATCCGTTGTATAACGTTGATTTCACATGATCATGTGAGATTTATGTAAGGGAAACATTTTTGGAAAATCGAAAATTATCTCTCAATAGAAAATACTAGTTATTTGTAGTCAACAACTTGATGGACTTCAATTATGGCGACTTTTGTAAAGAACCATTCTTGTACGAGTATTAGCAGTGAGGGAACTGGATTCTTTCAGAATAGCTTTAAAGACAAGGACGGAAAAGTGAGGAAAGATTTATTAACAATAAACTCTGTTGGTATGCATGTAGATACGAATCAGATTTTCTATGTACATCCAAATTCAACAAATGAAATGCAATTTCATCGGTGGAGTAGAATCTTATCACTTGACAGTAGGAATCACCTCAAATGTCAGTACACACCTGTAAATCCTCTTGAATCAACGAAACAACAGAATATTTAATGGCTTCAACAATACCAGGATATGACTCCTATTCCTGAATATTGTTATAATTCTATATTAAGCAGCATTTTGTTTTGTTTTAATTTGAGGTTTAGGGGATTCATCTATTACGCAACGATTCTTACGTTCACATTCAAGTGTCTTGTTCACCTTTGATGTAAACTAGTGGCAAAATAATTCTCCAACTGAATTTCACTTTTGAATATGGAGGTTTATTTTCACTGACTTTGATGAAGACATTTTAGAAGTAGACTGTATGGTATATCACACATTAAATGAAAGTGTACACTCCGTAAACGTTGACAATTTCATATTAACTCGAAGATTGTTAATTACATACATTTTCAATCGCACTATAATGTAATGAATAACATTTCGCAATCACTGAACTCATTATCCATTTGTCTGTGTCATAAACATTAGAGTAAATTTCACCGAAGCAGTGTATCAGTTCTATTTAGTGCCACTGCTTGTAATTTTTTGCAAAAATCATGATGTGTTACTTCTCCTTGGCATACAATTACACCATTCACTGATAATATTCATTATATTAAATGTACCTTTGTAACATGATAGTTTTTACCTGGAATATTATTGATCACGTGTTTATCAATTAAAATCTTGTGTGTGTTATCCTATGAAAATGTTTTACTTAACACTGTGATAGAGTTAGACGTGTCATGTGATACCTTGCTAAATAAGTATCTTCAAATAAATGTAACTGCTGTATGCTCAAAATGAAAAAGAGGCAACAGACATCTGACGTCATTATACTGAAATATGTCGAACAAAAATGATACAAAAACCCAAATTTTTTAGTACAATGACTACTTGACCTCAACTCCACTAATTGATCTCGTTATCTGACTTCCGAAGTGTCTATAAAGTCTGTGAAACACTTTTGTCAAAGATATCTAAAAGACATAGGTGTAAATTGTATAAATTTTATCTTCTTTTTATGTTAGATATATTGGTTTTCGCACAATATTGAATGATTTGTATACAATTGGTGGATGGTGGCTAGCAGTGGAATCCAGGATGCGCATTTCGTCCTAATTGGGACTCGTCAGCTGGATGTACCTGCATTTCTCAGTGAGTGATGATCTTCCCACCGAGGATCGAACCCAGTGCCCATAGTTTCAAACGCCAAAGCGTTATCCACTAGACCACTTGGGCCACGAGAGCCACCTCTTGTGCAACGGGTCATATATTAATTATTGAATTGAATTTTTGATTTTCCCGTCGATTGATTGGACCGAAGTGTTCGGTCTCAGGTTGACATGTCGGCTTCTTGTGCAGATGCTTCGACGATGTCTGGGGATTTGATTTGTATACAATTGGTGGATGGTGGCTAGCAGTGGAATCCAGGATGCGCATTTCGTCCTAATTGGGACTCGTCAACTGGATGTACCTGCAATTAGGACGAAATGCGCATCCTGGATTCCACTGCTAGCCACCATCCACCAATTGTATACAAATCAAATCCCCAGACATCGTCGAAGCATCTGCACAAGAAGCCGACATGTCAACCTGAGACCGAGCACTTCGGTCCAATCAATCGACGGGAAAATCAAAAATTCAATTCAATAATTGAATGATTTGATTGTGTCAGCTTGTTTGCTATATCTATTTCAAACGGTCTTAATATTCTTGCTGTTATTTCAGAGGTAATTTTCAAATTTGGCTGGATGATGTTTCATGGCGTCTTTGGTGTTGACTTGTTGCTGTTGGTATTATGACTCGAGTTTAAACACTTGTGGTTTAAATTGTGAAGGTATTCATGCTTTATGAGGAGGTCTAGACGGTATTTTTCCTCCATTCTCACCAACACTTGAATACCAGAGTGTGTTTGAACTCTTTTGAACAATGTTGGCAAACAGTTTCTTTTGTAAGTGGTAGTAGACTTTTTACTACTACCTGGCGGCTTATTTACGTTCGGTTGGCAGCCTTGTTCTGTTTCAGTCTTAACAGAGGGACCTGGTTGTGCTGAGTATTGATAGTCGTGGTTTTCCCTATATACATCAACTAAAATTGTGACTACTTTTTACTTTTTCCTAGGTGGACGCACGATGTGCTGATTTAATTAATGGAAGCCCTGTCTCGCAGCTACCTCCCTTCGATGAGGCCAGTAACTTCCTTAGTGTACGGTTATTTTGGATGATATAGTGTTGATCTTACCTTTTTGGTATCCAACTGTCGTAAACAGCAGGTGAATTCTCCACTTTCAAAACAATGGCTCTGCTGTGTCAGTTTCTTGATTTGTACATCGTGGTCTGAAACGGTGTGTCAAACCAAATGTGTCAGTCACATTTCTAGCACGTAAATCAGAGATAGTCATCACCGGGAGGTACTGATGGCCACTGGATGTCCCTCGAAACAGAGCCACACTGTCTACGGATCACAAGTTAACTACTGCTGTAACTGGAATTGACTTCATAGGCGGTCGTATGCACCGATATCCTCTCACCAACTGACACTGTGGACACCCAAATAGATATTTTGCCACATCCTCTCTCATATCTGACAAGCATATGTTTGTCTCAAGGGGTCGTTTGTTCTGGGTACTCCTATGTGCACTACCCAGTAACGTTCTTGTAGTAGAGACTGAGGTATAACCACCAACCAGCTTCTATCGTTCCCTCGTCAAGTAAGAGTTCTGACGGCGTATACTCGTAACCGATCCTTATATCTGCGTAGCGCTGGTATATTCTTACTCGTCGTAGTTGGAATCACTTCTATTTCATTGGTGATCACCTCTATGAATATTTTCAGGGTAGGATCTGATTTCTGACTGCAAGCAGGTTTACATGGGTCTTGTTCGATGTATCCGCTCCGCTTACAATCTTTGCTAACTCAGCTTCATCCTCCGGTGTAGATAAAATGTCTCCCAAAAGTGTTTCTTTACCGGGGACGTGTGAGATTGTGAAGCAATACTCCTTAAGCTGCAACATCCATTGCTACAATTTTCCACGTTGGCCTATCTGCGTCTTCAGAAACTGTAGTGGCTTGTGATCAGTTTTGATGTCGAAATGTTGGTTGAGTAAATATGGTCTCCATTGTTCTACAGCCCATACTTTTTCTAAACATTCTTTGTATAACTCTGAATACTTCTCTTCTGTGAGTCTTAAAACCTGACTGGAGTATTCGAAAACTCCTTTACAGTGTCTTACGGGAAGTGGGGAGTTGGTCGTTCAAGGGTGACATGTATGGGGTCATATGAAGAGGAGATGAAAGCATGAGAGCAGAAGTGGAGCCAGAAGAAAACATTGCCCGGAAACTGAACCCACCAAAGACGTCCGGCTGTTCCTCTAGGAACTAAAGGAAACAACCATAATATGACAACGATAATTCACCGTGTCTGCATATTGCGCCAATGCCATAATCACTCACATCTTTACACACTGTGAAATGTTTTCTGGGTAAAAGTAGTTTAGCGTCATTTTATGTTGGTCTAAAAGCCGAAAAATTCTGCCAAAAGTTTTTGCGAATTTTCCGACGGAAAACCTTCCAGTCACCTTTAAGATGGTACAGAAGACTGCTGAAGATTGTTACAAATCAACCATACGTCGCTACTCACCACAGGAACTGCCTCAGCTTTCTTATAGAATTCGAGGCAAAAAGTCATATATATATATGTATATATATATATATATATATATATATATATATATATATAACGTCGCCTAGATTACTAGCTCGCTCCTTTACTAGTCGGTCCCAAGCCCGGATAAAGAGGGTGGTATTAGGCGTGGGGCTAGCAACTTCCCCCTCAAAACTTAATCAAATTGCTACAGATACTTCAACAAATATATTAAAATATATTAAAAATACTAAAAATACAAACAATAACCTTATTTTTCGCTCGAATCAGCAGAGTGAAATGACGCAAGCTGGTGAAAGCCTTCGGGAAGCCAGTCAGCCGAAATACCTTCTTTCGATGAAAGCAAAATCAAGGATGGGGACGTGGAATGTTCGTTCAATGTACGAAGCTGGAAAAGCTGCTCAGGTAGCCGCAGAAATGAGAAGGTACAGAATAGAAGTGTTGGGAATCTGCGAGAGAAGATGGAACGGATGTGAAAGGTGCCAACTATTACCTGGAGAGACAATAATCTATTCCGGTCACCTTGAGGACAATCACGAGGACACCGAGGGAGTGACCACCATGATGTCACCAAAAACAACCAAAGCTCTCATGCAGTGGGAACCAATCTCCTCCAAAATAATGACAGCCAGGTTCAACACAAAAAGAAGCAAGGTTACAATCACCCAATGCTATGCGCCTACAAACGTCTCAGAACAAGAGAAGAAGGAGGCGTTTTACAGACAACTTCAAACAGTAATGGACAACGTCCTAAATAGCGATATCAAAATCCTGGTGGGCGACATGAATGCAAAGCTGGGAGGAGATTACAGCGGAAGAGAACTCACCATGGGTTGAGAGGCCCTCGGTGAAATGAACGACAATGGTGAAGTCTTCTCAGACTTCTGCGCCTTCAATGATTTGGTGATTGATGGCAGTGTATTCGCACCAATGCATGTGGATATTTATGGAGACCAATTTGATTGGGATAATGTACAAATTTAGAAATAGAGGAAACACCGGGAATGTAGTAAGAGAATGCAGAGATTAACAAACACACAAATTAATATGGATCAAATTCATCATCTAATATTAGAGTAAATGACATGACGAAAATTTGTGAGTTCGAAGTCAAGAAAAAATGCTAGTATGAATAAACTTTTATTTTGATTAAGTCACATGGGGCTTAACAGTAATATATACTGATGACATTTTGAGCACTATGTATATCACTGCTTACATAGCATTCTTGTAGATGTAGTCTGGAAGATGAACGACAAAACATTCGTATTTGATTCAACAAGCTCAGAAAGCACAATTGACTCAAGACAGATGCAACTTAAGTATGGAAATCGCTTCTATCCAATATTCATTGAGTTGATCATCTTAGATCAGAAACGACGTACTCTTGTAACGACAAAAGACAAGAGCCAGACAACAGACTGTTTATTGAGAAAATCAACAGATATTTATAGATTTCTATGTACATTAATGTCTGCGTAGAAGTTGTTTGTTTTCACGCTTAGGGTTATTCTGTACTGCTTGTGACCGTTTCTCAAAAAGTTAAGATACATAC